ACCAATGAAATAGTTATAGGAATCACCATGTTCACGAAATGTCCGGTGTACCGAAACGAGTAAATCTCATCGGAAGAGTTAGACTCCGACATAGGGGGAACAAGTTTACATCAGCCGAATTCTGCATTAACTGTACCACTTGCTGAATCATCAGCGGTAATATGGAACCAGGTGCAATGGTCGTGGAACGCTGGAGAACAGGACGCGCTTCCTTTTGGAATTTCTATCACCCGTCAGAAAATAAAATTGATGCTCCGCCGCTAGATGCTCAGCGGAGTGATCCAGTGCCTGTGCGGATCACAAGTGAACTCTGTCCTGCTTGAACTGCGAGTGGACGAAAGATGACCCAGTTCACGTCAGCTCCGCATACATTAACATGGACTGCTTGTTACCTTCCGGGTTCAGTGGGTCAAAAGAACCGCTTGAGCGATCCCAAGACTTTGTTGGACTTGCGCGAGAGATTCTAACACGTAGGGTATCCATCAGCCTCTTGCTTCCCACTCTCCAACCTCCTGCTCATGCCTCCCAGCAGGAGTTGAAAAATGCGGCACCAAACTTGAGCTCCTAGATTGGATGGGCCGGCGTCCGAGGAATTAACGAGCTGGTTTTCAATGTTCTGGCTCGGACAGGGACGGGCAGGAAGAGATTGCCTATTTCAGCGAGACTTCCGCAAAATCCTCTCGAATTCCAACCGAAGAGCATTTTTCGTAAGCTGGGGCAATCTGGGCTCCAGTGAAAGAGGCCTCGCAAGCGAGTTCGAACCTTAAATTCGGGCACCTTTGGTCCCTGCACGCGCCCAGATTGGAATCTATACCCAGAAGCAGCTGAGCTACATGAGACAGCTGGGAGCAGACACTCGCGGAGAAGTCCTGGCGTTGCAGAGAAGGCTGATCTTCACCTACCTAGTTCTCGAGAGAGATCAGTCTCGAAGATGGGAAAGGAGAGCACTCTATACGGCTTGCTGCGTTTGCTGAGAACTGGGTTCCCTCTGGGTATTTCATGGTCTCGCTGAGGCGGAATCGAGTTACGAGAACGAATCGCCGAAGAATTGGAAATGAATTCCCTTCCCCCTCTTCGCTCACCGCTTTCTCGAATATTTATTGTCTCAGTTATTATGAGAGGCCATCAGGAACATCGGGGCTCGTGGGAGAATATTCACCTGATCGTCGGTCCTGACGGCACTTGCTGCGCAGGACATGTGGCGTCGCCTCTGGAATGTTCCCGATCTGAGGCGCGGGACCGACTTTGGAATTCCCCGCAGCGAGTGGACCGATAAACCAATTTTCTCGGATAAACCAAGCGCAGATATTAGTGCCGGTAGAATGTCTCCGATCGTTGCGCTCCGGTGGCGTCTCGCTCAGCGGCTGTCGCCTGTCACCCACGCAGTCATCCAGCGAGAGACGGACCTTTTCCTCGCGATGGAGGTTCGTCCGAGCTCCATCGCTGCCAGATCGGATTATTTCCTCTGAAAGTGCGCAGACACCAAGCGTGACGATCCGAAAGGTCTCGACCTATCCTGGAATGATACCATGGATACAAGACCGCAGGAATCACAGGGCTTGAAGTTTTCGACGGATGTCGTTCCACGACGCAATATTCTTCTATACCGGAGTACGTCCCGTAGTCTCAGACGCTATTGCGGCTCTCTTCTGCGCTTGAGCATTCCATCGATGGTGGAATCTGAGGACGAATTCCTCCTCATAGGGCTCGATGCTTCTGGCGAACGAACGACTTGCTTAGCTTATTCGCACCATCACTGCAGGCAAGACGCATCGAATCTGGCGAGAACAATGAAACTTTCCCCGGTCGGTCTCGATGGGGAAAAAAAGCAGCTAGCTGCATGGAGCTCTCATTAGAGTCCATTCAGCGACCTCGAACGCTTTGGAGTCGTACAAAAGCTCGCTTCTGCGGGGCTGAATCCATCCGCATTTGGAAGAAGTACTCGAAGGGAGTCCCGTGCGGGAATCCGTTCCTCGGCCAGATTTCCACCGCATCGCAGACACAATATTAGCTTGGCAGCTCCGTCGCAGCCATCTGAATTTCACCCAGGCGGCTGACGAGCGACAAAGTCGACGGAAGAAGTAGTCGGGCAATGATCAGATTTTCAGGCACTCGGAGAAGCGCTCACGTTTTCTTTTCGAACACTTGCGATTCTGTTCTCGAGCAATACCGAAGTGCATTCCCGAGAATGGGAATGTCACCAGCTCGACCGTTCTCGAGCTGTGGCGCCGCGTCATCGCGCCATTCCGAGGATGGGGATTGGATCCGAAAGAGCCTTGAGGAAACTTGACCGAACTTGATTGAATTCGATTTGACAGAGCACGTGGTCGATCGGATGAGGAGTCATGATGAACCCTGGTGCTTCCCTCGTCATCGTATCCTTCTCCGACAAGATACAATGAAGGTGATCAATGTCAAAAAATATTCTTGGTTTCTCAGAGAGATGCATGCCTATGCAGTCAGCGGAATGTTGCGGTTTATTCAACTCCGGCGCTCTGTGAACCAAGTAGGCCGTGTGGCTCGCAAGTAGCCTGGCCCGAGATTAAATTATTTATGGTCAGGGACACGTTGTGCCGAGAACCGACCGTGTCAACATGCAGCAGCTTCGACTAGACAGAAGCCGTACCCTCGAAGAGCTGTTTTCGACAATATCGTATCCGAGTGGCGAGATAGAGGTCAGGGCAGGCTCTCCATGTTCCCAATCCCCGTAGTTGAGCCTGTTGGCGTCCCAGACTTGCGAGGGTGGGGCATGAGAGCTCATTGCTATGGCATACAGTGACTACTACTCGACACTTGAAACTCTTGAGTTTATGACCTTCGAACGTCCTTCGAAGGCCTCGAGGGACGCCTCAAGGTGGAGGTCGAACGTGCGGTTCAAGTTGGTACTGCCCGGCTCCATTTGCACAATTTCGACAATATTTGACAGATTCGATCGATTTTCTCAAAAACCAACCGACCGTTGAGGAAAGTCGATCCCCAGCTCGGAATACTCTACTCGTTCGGGCGTTATCTGAATGGAAGTCAGCTGGTGAGCACTCGTTGATCACGAGAGCGCATGACGTGGGCTAGATGAGTCCTCGAGTATACAGGATGTCAATGTTCCGACCTGTGTTAACAGAGGTCGTGACGCGTTCAGCCTGTTATGAGGATCTCGTGGGCAAAAACTCCGCCTGCTCATGCAAGCCTTCCGATCACGCTATTTCGCTTCGGATGCACCAGAATTTAGAGTTTGTGATTTATGAAACCCCCAGAGAACTTCTGAGCCCTCCCCCCTCCCCCAGGGCCACAGATCTATTTTTCAGGTCAGGATCTCTCTATCTCGTGTGAAGTAGATCGTTACACGAAAAGGAAGGCGGACGAGAAAGTGATCGAGCAGATAAGCCCCAGAATCGTCGGGCTGAGGGGGTTTTCTATCCAGCTCCAAGAGAGAAATGCAGTCAAGGTCGATTTTACGATTGCACTTCATGTGCCCGGAAGGTTCAAGGATGCAGAGCCCGAGAGGTCATCAGTCATGGGGACCGCTGGACGAACCTCTACCCTGGCGTTTTCGACTGATATCAGCGAAGAGCTGGAAATCCGTTCATATGCAGCGATTACCGCCGTGCCGCCGGGGGAAAAATTCCTCCGAGACGCGCAGGTCCGTCATAGAACCGGATGCGGAAACGTTTCGTTCGAAAACTTTCTATAGACTGGCATTCATGCTCAAGAGGCTGGGGACCTCAATCATCAGACTCTGCTTCGGCGAGAGCCTACTTGTTCACCCAAGTGCCGCGACAACGAGCTCGGGTTCCGTCAGCCCCAAGTCAGATCTTCTTCCCACTTATGGCTCCTACTCCGCGGGTTCTGATGTCATCTGACGCGGCTCACAGTCCTGCTCCATTCATGAGGTTTGGGAGTCCTAGGGGTACGCGAGCCATTCTCCCCCTATCCGCCGATGGAATCTCCCGTTTCGACTGACCCCCCGGGAACTGAGCTGAGGGAATCAGAATGGTGACTACTCATGTCTCATGTTCATTCTAGAGCCGCGAATCGAGGGGGACGTGATCGAGGTACAATTTCCCATCCTTTTATGAGAATGACTTCCAGCGTTGAACGATACTTCCCGGCTGACCAGGATGAGCGGCAAATATCGAAGCTTTCCGGCCGGGGCTAAGAAGGTCATCGGGCAAGCACTCCGAGGCGGGAAAACCTACGTCACACATCCCCTCTTGCGTAATCAGAATGCATAAAAACAGATTTCTGGTCACTCTAATAATCTCAGGACCACGGGAGTCTCCGATCGCATATGATAATCGACGCGAGTGATCATAGACAGACACAATCCAGCTCTGATGGAGAAATCCACCGATTGAATACCGGGGTGATGCATCAAGGCGCGGGTTCTTCCTAACGATGCTCCATATTCCAGGATACGGAATCGGGTTGCATCAGCTCGACCTGACCGCTAGTTTTAACCGAGTCCGGCTTCAACCACGATAGCTTTTCTTCTCTGCTCGGGAGGCTGGGAATTCTAGGATAAATCAGCCAGCGTTTGGAATCTTTTCGCTGTGCTCGAGGAAACTCGAGGGAATCCTAGAGGTTTCATTCCATACCAGGCTCTCTTCCGGGAAAGAATTCACTTTGTCCAAATCCGTTCTTGTCTGATTGCTTTGAGCGCGATTCCCGACCTCTCGATATCCCAGGATTGCATTGTCGAATGTCAGAAAGTCGGTAGGAAGCTTCTCGGGAAGCCATGATCGAATATCATGGTCAGCCCGCGGTGATTACACTCAGTAGGCTATTCAGGGAAGAGAGTCGCCCCTATGCCCCCCGGGACCCCCCGTGGGGCTCTCAGAATCCTAAGAAAGCGAAATACGAGACTCCACCGGGATCCGTGGAGTCGTCCATCGACTGAACTCAATCAGAGGATGGGATCTGCGGCTCGAAGTTCGCAGATTGATAAATAATCGTGAATGTCGCGATAATTTCCGACTGACCACATGTATCCTTAATGTTTGCAGATGGCCGCCATCGACACAACCGCTGCGCAGCAGACGCTGTATGATTACTGGCGAACGCTTCTGATGGAAGAAGAGAGGAACGCTGTCCGGAATGAGAGACTGCTACGGAAACTCGAGGACATCGAGCAGCGGACCAACTTGCTTTACCACCGAACCGAGCGGCTATCGCAGCTAAGGGTATATTGTTGTTTCCGCATAAAGGAGAATCGCGCTCCCTGGAAGTGATTCCAGTGGATATTCTCATGTCGAACGCTCTCGTAATTCGAGATTGTCACAGAAATCGATTATGCGAACAACTGCATATCTTATGCTGCTTGCCTCTTGCAGAGACGCTTTGCTGAAATGTTGCGTCAACAATATCTCAACGACCCAGAATTCAAGTGCGAGCATTATCCGTACGATTTCAAGGTAAACATTGCACACTGAGGATTGTATTCTGCATCGTAGCAAGCGGATTCTACAGACGAGCCCCCATTTTGATGTTGAAGGAGTCCGGTAATTTTATCCTAAACCTGCATTTCCATTTGTATCCACTACAGACGAGTCAATACGTTGAGCCGTCGTATGTACCTGATCCCGTTCTGTTCGGACTCGACACTCCGCCTTGGATGCCCCGCGAGCAGAACAACGACGTTCTCCTCCAACGATCCAAAGACGTCCTTGAAAGTTTGAACAACTACGATCCCTTCGGTCGTCCCAGAACACAAACGAGGCTCAAAGAGAATCAAGACAATCAGGAAGAGAAGAAAGATTCCGAGAAAGAGCCCGTCAAGAGTCAAGGTAGCTAGCTAAGTTTCGATTTCCTACTTATTTACCTTAGTGTCGCGTCGTCGATCTCGGATTCTGTCAACCCCGATCCAGATCATCTTTCCGCTACTGACCCCTACTCAGCCGGATCTGATGTCATCTGTGGCGGGCTCGCGAAGTTAGTGAGCTGATGCTTCACAAAAAAAAGTTTAGCGGTATGCAAAATCATTCGCGTGTTCTTTGTTCGGCTTCGATTTCTTCGGAGTTTCCGAGCTGCAACTATGAGTCGACAAGACATTCCAACCCTCGCACGGGTCCAGAAGCTCGTCTTCTCGGGCTTGCTCGTTGAGATAATAATGAGGCTAATATGAGAATGAATATGCGTTTTGCTTTCGACTGCAGATCACCCTCGAAGGCTCAGATCCCTACGTAGCTCTCTTTCAGCCCTTCCGAGCTCTAAGAATCGCGGCCCGTTCTCGCGGAGCGAACCTGGACGTGACTAGAAGCTATGTTATGCTCGCTTTCCGTACACAAAATTGTGCATTCTCTTAAGCGCAGGAAAACTCAACTCTCCTTGTAGATCCCCAAGAGGTAGCAAGAAAAGCAATTCTGAAGAAAATAACGAATGCCACCGTGTGGCACTGCCAGAGGAGAGGGGAAATGGGAGATCGGAGCCTTTCAGTCTATCTTTGGGTATTGCAATCTCATATCCGTCTCCACGATCATAGTCATGAGCCCCGGAAACCTGCTCAGGAAGCGAGATATCTCCACTCAGAGAGTGATTTCTCCTAATTTGCGATGTCCGACGCTCACGACTGGTTCATGCATCAGAGAACCGACCATTCTCCGGAGGTCTTCTCACTTACTCCTCAAAATACGTGAAGTCCGATTTTCGGCACCGGAGGATACGGCATGTCCAGGCTTCTTCAATCTTCTTCATGTGAGACGAACACACCATTGACCCTGTTTCCACTCCTGCGAATTTCAGAGGGGCTCTGTCGGAACGAATTCGAAGGCATTGGAAAATCTCACGCCCCGTCCGATGAGGAGGAGCGGAAATCTGCTGAAGAATCCACGCAGAAGAATCGAGATGGATCGATGGAGGACGATGATCGCGAAGAGGAAATGAACGACGATCTCAGAGAAATCGATCGGAAAGTCAACGAAATCGATCGTGAGATCGAGAGACTCGAGATGGAGGTGAGGGACCGTGAAGTTTCTCGAAGACAGGAGGCCGAGGAGAAAGAGCGCTGTCGGCAGAAAATGGAAGAGAAGCTCCGCGAAGAGCAGGAACGCCTCGAAGAAATCCGTCAAGAACGTGACGATCTGCGCCAAAGAGCCATACGTGAAGAGCAACAGCGCAGGGATGAGCAGGACGCCCTGAAGAGAGAAGTTGAGGAGATTCGGAAAGAGCACGAGGCCAGAGAAAGGCGACAAATTGAAGAGAGGAGACAAGCCCAAAGACGAAAGGAACAGCTCGAGGCTGCGGAGCGACAGCGCAACGAAAACATGGATCGAATTCGGCGTGAATACCAGGAGCATCAACGGAAACGTGAAGAAAAGAAGCTCGAGCAGCTCGAACAAGCGAATCAGAGGAGAGAGGAAAGGTGTCGGCGAAAAATTGACTCTGACGCAGGAGAGTCTACCAAGAAACGCGACGAGAAGAAACGACCGGAACCAGCCTCGAGAAACAGGAGACAGAGCAAGGACAACACGCGTAAAGTGAAGGGGCGATCCGAACGCGAGGAAAAACCGGAGAAAACCGACGCATCCGACGAGCATTCAGCGTCCGCGACCGAACAGAGCGGAGATGATGAGCAAAGACAGCAATCTACTGACAAGACGGAGCAAGCGGTGAGTTTTCCCACGTGGTTATCCCATTGGGAATTGATTCTCGATTCGTCGACATATCGAGTCGTCCCCCTCCCTTCTTCATCGAATCGAGAGCTTTATTTTTCTGCGCGAAGTCTCCAAAAAATCGGGATCCGATCGGATATCATCCAATTCATGTTTCAATAATTTCATAGACATCCGAGCCTGCATCTCTCACCTACGTGAAGGACGAAGACGAATTTTATCGAACGACTTCTGAACTCGAAGAAATTCAAAAAGCCGCGAGTTCAAGCAATCAGGCAACTGATTCAGGCCAGAATCAGGAAAATGCAACGAATCTTTCCGAGGGAGAGATGATACACCGTGAAGTGCCGAAGAGCGGGCAGCATACACCCAAGCACAATGTGATTCAGCCAGGACCTGGCATTCTGAAAAACAGGGTAGGTCAGCCACGGATTGTCACGATCAAGCTCCTGTGCGAACCCCAGTCTTACCATTTGCGCATCATCTGATGATCCGAGTCAATACACATTCCTTTAAACAAGTCATATGATTTCTCAGAATGATCGATGACTCATAAACTAATTTTTCACCTGAACAATCATCAAGCGAGATTCTGATAGATTCTCTGTCTCCCGGCAGCGAACCGATACCCTCGGCCCTTCCCGGAACGCCCCGAGTCAACGGAGACCTTCGTTCATACCTCGGAGATCGAGTTCGGCTATGGTTGAGCGTGAGAAACATCCAGCCTCTGCTCTTCCATTGATGCCAGTCGACTATCGCGCCCCCCAGAAGAGCCAGTCAGTCATCCTGGAGGAAGGCACTGAAATCGACGTAAGGAGAATAAATACCGAGCGGATCTTCCTCTTCTCTCTAGATTAGTTCTGTTGGAATTTGAATATTTGAATGGGAAAGACCCGGAAGAGGGAGGGATCGATATCATCCGCGACGAGGATGGCACGTAGAAAAGTACGGACGTGCTCGGTTCGCGTGTTGAAAGTCCATGCTTGTCCTGGAGCCATCGTAGGCTGCCATTCATCGACATTGATGAATATTCTCGGGGATCGCTCTATCGGTTCATTTTATCGGGCTCAGGGGAAGGCTCGGGTCACAACTCATCGGAGAATAAGTGCCGAGCTAAAATGGCGCTGTTGAAAGTGAGCCATTCTCGATATGAAACCTTTGTTGCACGAGATATCATTCCAAAACATTCCATGCGATTGTTGGCAACTTTGCGGAGCGGCATTGTTGACTCTCCGCGTATCGCTCGTTCACTATCACTCCGTGCCCGTGCCCCCCTCCCCATAGAAGAGATGTCGATGCTTCAGCCGGCAGATATACTGCGAACAGAGTCACGACTTCTCGCTAAACGTCCCAACCGAACGTCGTGCCCGACGGAAGATCCATGGGGAGATCCGGAGTTTGGGAACGCAGCGCTCATGTCCGGATCGATTGCTTCAAAGGTGAAGTCGATCCAGAGAGAGGTGGAACGGAGGCGGGAGCTCATGGACCAAGGTGGAGGAAACAGCCCAGACCAAAAGCAAACTCTCGCCATGGCTGACATGGCGGCTGACAGCAACGGCAGCCGAAGCAACAGGACATCCGAGCAAAGCGCGGAGAACATCAAAAGTTCGTGGCAAAAATCATGGGAAGAGAAGTCCGAAGCCATGAGGTGAGTGCCTCCGGTGTGAAGCGAAAATTCATGCTTACGTGATGTTCGTCTGAAAACCGAGTCAAGAGCTAATCCAAAAGTGTTCCGTAGGTCTCGCAATGGCCTGATGCATTGCCAGAGCCGTCTGTTGGGATTCGATTTTCACGCTCCGTTTCAATTTAGACCCGAATATTCAGAGTTCTCTGATGGACGACATCATGTCAATGAACGGAAAGAGGAAACTTCTCCCGGAAATTATATCTAACCCGTTCCCTCCTGTGTGCTTCCAGCGACAATCAAGCGCGTGTCGGGGACGGGAGCGACAGAAAGGATTCGGGAGCAGGAGCAGAGCAGCAACCATTGAAAATTACGGTGAGCTCGGGGCGACGGGGCAGTGTGGCAGGACCTACAAGCGACGAGCAACAAAAGGAAGAAAGTACAATAACGAAAGCAGACGATGATGGAAAACTCAAAATTAGCAGCCATGACCCAACGGTTAGTTTTACGCGATTCACCTTCCTATATAATTTGCAAAACATGTTGTCCATTAGCCGGCTCCATGATTATTAGAATTTGCGCCTCGCGCGAGTCTCGAAAGCCTATTCGTTGTGACATCGTTAGAAGCGTTGTGTTTCCGTTGAGCTCTTCCTGGCAATTATGCGTCGGCCTGTCCTGCCCGGCCTATTCCATGAACCTGATGTGACCTGAATAGCGTTTAAGCTGGACAATGAGGGGTTCAGGACAGCGAGCCGCAGAGATGGAAGGGTTCAGCGCGATCCGGCGCTGTTGAAGGATTCATGCGATGAGGGTCATGGGGTTTTTCGTCACCAACTTTGAGCGTGCGAGACCGAAACGAATTTCGCCTGTAGGTATGCCCCGCGTCTGGCTCCGTCAAAATAGTTCGGAAATTCGTGCCGGAATGAGTCCGTCACGGAATCCATCGATTTCGAGCTACGCGTCTCCGCATTTCGGGATTTCTGAATACTCAATAGATCATGGGATTATGCGGGATTCGATCGGTTCCAGGCTGCCACCAGAACGTCGAGACACGCATCTATTTTTGAAAACGAGGTGGTCCCAACTGTCCTAAGCCCCAGGACCATTAGGTCCCGCCGTCTAGCCGAGGCCGAAAAGGAGATGAAGCTGAACGCACTAGCCGCTGAGCTGCAAACCGAGCTCCAGCGCGAAATACTCCAGCGGCAGCTCGCTAATGCCAAAATGGATGCCACGGAGTTCGTCAGCCATTACTCCTGCTATCTCCCATCCACAAGCAACCCGAACATCAACATAAAACGTTTCCAAAGGGTAACTACCTGGCTCTCGAGTCTACATAGAAGCGAAATAAATGGAATCGTGGACGTCAGATGTTTAATTTCCTTCTTCTCTACTATTAAAGGACATCCACACACCGAATCTTGAGGAATTGAACATCAAGAAAACTTCACAAGTTTTGATCTCCGGAATTCATGGCGCGACGGAGAGTGGGAACTCGGAATCGAGTCCACCGTTGCGAGAACAAGTGAAATCACTTTCTCCGCCCAAAACAACAGAACCGGCTGAGGAATCGATTTCGGCCCCAGTCGAATCGAAGAGGAGAAATTCTGTCCAGGTTCTCCTCAATGCCAATCAGGAAAGCACTTTGCGAAACGAGGTGCGTCATACATCAGGTTTCGTTTTACATCAATTCCCACTACTTGCGTCTGCGAGGTTCTGCCTCCCCTCGCAGGCTTTCCGCTTTGTGTGTTGGCGAATTATTCTTCCCGGGACAGAACGCTTGTCGGACAGGTCGAGAGTTGTCCTTGCGAAGAGTGCTCGGTGCTGTCACACAACAGAGTGTGGGTAGAGGGAGCAGCTGTATAAACAATCTTCTTTCGCAGGCCGCTGCGAAGGAGAAAGCGAGGCGGAATTCGAAAGATGTCAATGGAAGTACCCGGAAAGAGAGCGAGACCTCCTCTCGGTCAGATACACCGTCATCGTCGGTGGAACTCAACTGCTCGAAGGACGATGGTAAGATTCCCTGGGGAGTTCTGCTCCAAACTCCAAAACAGCCAGGAGAGGTCTCCCGACCGCAACACGGCTTTCCTGGAGCCGCGAATCGACCTCGGTCTCTCCGCTTGACGCCCCCTTTATCCAGAGCCTAACATATTATCGATCATGTGCGATTCGATGCGACTCCTTGTTGTTTGAACAGGCAAAGATCTACGTGCAGAATATTCCTTACTGATGGGCAAGAAGATGGAGGACTCGCCTAAGCCAACTGCATTACCATTACCACCACCGAGTCGCAGGACATCGATGCAGACCAACACGACACCCATTAACAATTCAGGAATCCTCGCCGATGGAGATAGCCGCCACGTGCCACTCTTATCCAAAGCTGAAAACCATCAAATGACAAAACTGTGAGTGAATATCTCGTCCATTATTTTCCATGGAGGTCACGTTCAATGAGTAAAGCCAATACACTTGAGGCAGTCGCAAGCTTCACATTGAATCCGCAGTTATAAATACGACTGGATTTACGACAGATAGAGCGCACTCGGGGCGATTATATTGACCTCGTTGTCTCAGTCTCGCGCAATAAAATCTTGTCTATAAAGAAAAGACCTTCACTGCACAAGATAACTCGGCTGCCTCTGGAAATCTGGAGGGTTCCACTTCAATTCTGACCGCCACTCTCCCGTTGGGTTGGCTCAGCTGAGCTAGAAATAAGGCAGCAGAATACAAGAGAGGATCAAGGTTCCATTCTTTGTAGGCGCGAGGGAGCATCCGCCTCCTCGAACGGCTCCAGCCCGGTCGCGTACGCGTCGGATCGGATTTCAGCACACCACGTCAGAGAGTTGATAACAAATAACGTCAAACATCACGTGCCGAATATTGTGGCAAAGAGAGGTGGGTCTGCCCATTCGACGCAGGCGCGTACCCAGGATTTCCCCCCTCCCCCTCTGAATACGCGCCTGATTCGACGGTGTTCACTGGACGTATGCTGAATTTCTCTGAGCCCTAGCCTAATTGCCCTCCTCCTAGTTCTAGGACTGGACCTCTTCAGTAGTGATGCTCCACGGCCAAAGGATTCAGACCCAGAAGAGGATTCATTCTTCGATTGATAGCCCTCTTGATTGAGCGTTTCTCCGCTCCTCGACCTCATCTAGATCCTAGGACCGTTTTTGGACGCTTCTCAAGAATCGTCACCTACAATTATTGTTGTTAGTGTCATCGATTGATTCCCTCGTGTCGACAACCGTTTCGGATAGTCCACCCAGGAGTAACTACAGTTACGAGAATGGAGCACTTTAAAGATCTCACCGAATTTCGCCTCTGGAGGCGAAAATTCGAGAGAAATGTTAAAGAGTTTTCCGTTTCAGTCGAAGTTCTAGAACAGCGGTTTTTCCCAATACCAGGCTCGTGGGCGAGTCGTCCTCTTGTTGGCTATCGGAAAGTTGTCCCCAATCCAAACACTCCATGTCCTCGTCTTTTTTACCGGGAAAAAGAACGAACGATAGGGCGTGTCCTGTTGCGCTAGCCTGCGCTAAAAACCTCTTTTCTGACGTTTGCCTGTCTTGCAGATACTTTGTCAGGATTGTTGGTTGATGATCCAATTACTTACCTTGTACAGAGCTAGCTTCAGTTTTCCACGAGCGGTCTTCCTCGCCGTGAGCTAGTAGCAGTTCCTTGAACTCGAGAGTTTCGAATTCTCTCAATGCCTGGTTCTCGCCACGTAGGCCTACTACGTCAGGGTTCCGTCATGGATACGAACAGATTAATTATTATTGGGGAGCTAAAACTGCCATAGCGATGCACTGCCGCCCTTGCGAATACAACAATCGGACCACAATAAAGAAACTGTTGCTATCTGTAAGCATGGCCGTTCACTCGATCGTCTGATGGAAAAAATTATCTTGTCGGTGACCCGGTCTCAGGCGACAGGAATTTCTTTCCAAGACTCTTCCTTATTCTCCCCGCTCATGGGAGAGCCGCAGAGAGAATCAATCGAATAAATATTCCTCGCAAGCGAGGATTGGGCCCTCGACACGTATACGAGACAGGCTGCAGAAAGACCCAGGGCAAGGTTCCGCCGGAGCAAGCATCTGGAACTAGCTGACCCTCGCGATAATTATTTCTGCCAACCGATGCTCAAACCAACTTGTTTCGAACTAAAATTCACCGACTGGCTGGGAACGAACGACGCCGACGACTGCTTGTGATTAGATTAGGAATGCTCTTACTCCAATGGAACTCATGAGGACTGAGGGCGTTTTACCCGTTCGCGACTTCATCCCCAAGATCAGAAATCGGGTTAATCAGCTCTTCCAGCAAGATCGATGTCTTGGAGAATAACGGCGGGCGTGCTCCTATATGCTCATTCGCTGCCTGTCCCAGTTCCTGATAGACTCCGGGTCAGACGTCGAATATGCGAGGAATGTATCCAGTGACAGCCACGGCGCGGCGGGGTATTACCGTAGCTGCTACTCTGTCGAGAGGATGCAGCTGCCTAATATTCCCCGGACGCTTAACAGGGTTCGAGACGTTAGACTTCTTCGGATGACCTGTCACCGTTCCTCCTCCGCATCCGATCAAGGGTACAGTTCTTCATGAAGTCTCGTCTTCCGTCCATGGTGATAGTGTTTTTCGGACTCATTGAATTCGCGGGAATGCCAAGCAGTTCCAGATTGGTGAAGAAAGTCTCGTTCGCAGTCACACCAAGCCATTGAAGGGATTTACTCAGCAGAGCGCGATCCCCACGCATTCAGCCGCATATGGTGTTGGAGATTATACGAAGTCTGAGCAAGCGGGTGAAGGACAAGAAACCACTAGTAGCTGAAACAAAATCGAGACCTCGGCTTAGGTCGAGTGATTTTTGACCTTCTCGTTGGTCACTTTCAGCCACTCAAGAGATTCCAATGCAGCCTTGTGACTCACGTCGAACGACCTTCGGCAACCTCGCCGGAGGACCGCGTCAACAAACATCCCAAAGTGTTTGCTCGCCTCCTCGTTCAGGATCTGGTATTGTCCGCCGCTTACGACTTGGAGGTTACACTTTCTCTCACGCACACTCGCATAAGCCGAGCGAAAAGTGGCAAACACCCCTGAGATGCTGGACGCTGAAATCCTCTTTGTAGACTGACGTCTGAATCTCAGCGTCAAGAGCAAGCCGAGCTCCGGCATGCGAAAACAGGGCCAGCGTATCTACAAATAGAGGCCTATCGGCTCGCGAATCTGTCCAGCGAAAAATACCGATCTCACCTATGCGATAAGAGTTCGAATACGTCCCGATCCCGACTCGAAATAGGGAAAACTGCGGAGCCGCCACGGATACGCCATTCCGTTGAAGACTAGACTAAGCTACCTGCGTACATTCGAGGAATGCCATGAGCGAATTCCAGCGCTTGAGGAAGCCTGAGGAGTAGGTCATGATGGAGCCTTCCCGTTCCTCCCTCACGCTTCTCTTTTAGAAAATGCAATCCCATCTCCTGTCCTCGCAGGGGGATGCCACCGGAGGATTTTGCACGAGGACGACTCGCATTCCCCGCGAACGGCGAGCGAGCGAGTCGTTGTGGTAGAGGCCCAGGCCGTGTTCTGCATACCGCTCAAGCAGCGGGAGTTCCCTGTGAAGTTAGCTCGGCGGAAGACTCGCAAGCCGGTCGATCAAGGAAACTCAAAAAATTCAAATCATGATAATCTCCTCACATTCTCATCAGACCAAAACCTTTCAGCGCACAGCGTGATGACCTTCTGCGAGTGATGAGCTGCACTACTCCAGGAGATCGTCCAATATCTTCCGAAAACTTTGGCATTTGTTGTGAAATCCTCAGAGTAAGATCAGACCGGAGCTCCGTACGCACAACCTGCTCGCAGCGGAAGTCCGAAGGAGCCCTCATACCCAAAGCCACAGGGGGAATTTTCCATCGAATGGCCCTTTTCTCCTTGTCGCTCATTCGACCCGTATATTGTGCTTACAGAGACCCCCGTAGGGGAATCCCCCGGAAGTGTTTGGAAAAGTCAGGAGTATATTCAGTGACACGGCGCTGCCCTGTCAAACGAAACGGTCGAGTTGAGAATCACTCCCGAGCAAGTGGGGCAGACGTGCGGTCTGGGCACCGCGAACAAACAAGCAGGACGCTTTCAGGGTCGTATGAATTAAGTACAGAACTCCCCAAGACGAACATTCCTTATTTCCGCCGCTGAGAAAGAGGCAAACGATAGGCCCCAGGCGGCGCTGAAGTCGGAGCGCACGTGCTTGCCTGCCTGCCTGCCTGCTTGCTTCCTCGCCTTCCCGAGACTAGACAGGCAGCTGATGTGCGGAGTGAAGCTGGGCCCTGGAGCCAGACCTGTAGCCAGGAGCCGTCTGTAGACTAGTGAAGCCGTGCCCCAACCGGATCTGTCTGAAGTTTTTTACTGTACTACCCGTGGACCAATAGTCGAAACGGTGAGTCATAGGGCCGAAATCCCTTCCCGATATCGGCGGGTGCGACTTATTCCGATTCGGTAGCGCGATATAGTCTTGCGTCGGCAGGCTAACAGGTTGCTCTGATTCCGGGAACTTTTTCAACGTGAGCTGAAACGAGCAGTTTCTCTCGAAGTTTCGTTATTCGGAATATTTCGTGGGGGAAACGAATGATATCTCGGAGTGGTTCCGAAGCTTCTCCCTCGATCTTTCTAAGCCGTAACGACGAGAGCTCATCATGAGAGGTTCGTGTGTCAGATCGCGAAAGAGCTGCGGAATTCGTACTTAGGGCAAAACATCTGCGTTTATTAAAACACACATTTCGAAGTAGTGGCTGATCATGTAGAATATCAAACTTATAGCAGTCAGCCACTCCGCAACCACGGATACAACGTGCGCGGCATAGCCACCGTCTTCGATTGTCCAATGCAAGATTCTCCATCCAAACTCGTGCCTGTAGGAGATATAGTCGTTCCGATTAGGTACTGCTCTCCTGGTTTTCGAAGCGAGGGCGATACTTGCGAAGCGGGAAAGGTGTCCCCCGAATTCTGCCTCCGGGCACTGGACTGAGCGAATCCGGTCCCGATGCCTTTGTCGTTCAGGTCCACTCGACTCTATTTGATGGACGATAGAAAGCCATGCAGTCCGCGAACCGGGGCCGAAACGAACGGCACCAAATCGCGCACGGCAGTCGCATGGCCCGCCACGGACTCTATTCTATTCCTCGAATTTCGCCGATCCTGTGAGCCGCAGAGAGAGTGCGGCACTCGTGCGAGTCGAAGAGGACTTTCGAATTTCTGTACAAAGGGAAAGACCTTCGAGAGGTTCGCTCCTCGTGGGCAGAGTCGTCCGAGCCAGAGAGTACTGCACGGAACAGAGCGATATCGGGCGCTTCGGAGAGTATCACGTATTCGAAACATTCAATCGCGCCGATTATCATCGGCCTCAGCAGGATCAGTCAATTGCGGAGCCTCTCCAACAAGTCGGATATCCAGCAGTCGCTGGACCGGGTATTATAGAATCACAAGGAGATGCTGCATACTCACGCTCCTACTGCGCCGGAAGAAGCGCGAAAAGGAAGGAAAAAATCCAGGGCCGTCAAATCAGTATTCCCCATGCGTACCCGGCCATGTTCTGAATTTAGTTCATTGGAGCGAGTGGAAGGGACACGGAAATACCTCACGAGCAGCAGAAGACGAATGCATAGGTTCTTTCCCTGAAGGCCCATTCGATTCTCGTTTTTCGAGCATCTCTCATGCGTGTGATTTTCTAGGACTTTGCATTTCCCACCGGACGGCAGCAGTGTGTGGCGTGCAGCGGAAAGATCATCATCAGTGAATGGAGGAACCCTTAGGTGCGATGCTGCGGGAGTTGCAGTCTGGGAACCTAGCTCGCCTTCGTCTAGTCCCGATCGCGCTCTGGATTTAGCCGATTCACTATATGCAGGAGGATTTTCCCTTTCACGATGGTGCTATGCATGATAATCGGCTGCCTGAGCTGTGCCCAGTCTGAGCTCAGATCCTTTGAGCCTGGAGCTCCCGGATGAGAACCTTTGGCGGGAACACCGGTCATGGCGCATATGCTCTCGTGAGCGAGCATGCGCGTTTGGGAAACAATACGAACATCGTCCGACATTCTAAGAATTCCAAAACCTCCAGTCGCCCCACCTCATTGTCTCATAAGAACCGGGGGTCACATAAGGAGGAATATCATCATGGGTGCAAGGGGCACACATTGGACCTCCGCATTCCGTCGCATCTCGATTGATTCGATTCTCGCAGAGGATTAGTGATTTTTCGGAGAAGAGATGAGACCATCCCGAAATCAGAAATCTCGCAGTCTCTTGGAACTCATTTACTCTCCTTCACTTGATCTTGTCACTTTGTCCTCGAGGATTCGATCCTTGAAGTAAGAACTCTCCAAAAAGCAGCCGCGGAGACCGCTCTCTTCAAGGAATTCTCATAATCGGGGAACTTAGTTTATCAACTTCGGAACTGCGCACCTCCTAGGATCTCTGAAATATTTGCTTGACCTTTGCTCGGATGGGGGTCCAAATCTCCCAAGCCTCTACTTGTTGCTGTGAGGGATCGACGGAAACCTTCAAACATCATTCAGCTACTCGATTCTCGACTTCTATTGCGACCTTGATCCGAGTACCTCTGGTCGGGAGAGCATCAATCGATAATTCGAAAGAGCGGACAACAAGTTCGCCGGGGTCCTTCCAAGTGTTGTGGACAACAAAGGAGTTCAAAACCTGTAGGACCTTCTCGCGGGGAGTCCAGCCCCCTTTGCTGATTTATGAAACCCATTTCCTCCTTCAGCCTTGACGGCGCGGCGGAGGGCCAGAACTCCCCCGTCAACCGACTCGTTCCGGGAATTCACTCAGTCCGAGGAGACCCTAACTTCGATCAATATCGCTTTCGAATGGTCTCGCCATCGGATGCTGTCTGAGTGGGTCAACCCTCTCTCGACGTTCTCCTGCGTTCTTCGACTCCGTCCTGAGTGCAGCAATATCGAGAAGAGATACGATACCGATGGGAAGGAGGTTCGCACGCTTCGCTCCTCCGCTTTGTGGGAGTTTCCCATGGATATGGGCAGGAATGAGCAGCAAAGCGATGTTTACCTTCTGTTGTAGGATGACCGACTGTAAGTGGCCGCTCCCATATGTTCATTGTCACCCTCGGCTGTCTGTTCTCATTAGTTGGTTGGTTGTGTGCTGTGCGTCTTGGATAGCTCCTCGGATGCTGCGAGTCTGCGTTGTTGCCGTCAGCCAACCAGGCCGGGCCGTAAGCGAGATAACCATGACTCATAGCTAAGGAAGTCGTTCACTTCTCGCTGTCTCTCCCACGAGCGTTTTATGAGCAGAAAATAAGCGGCGACCATCGTCTCCGCCTTTGGTATTGCTCGGGAACAGGATAACTCGATTCCATCGATGCCTCTTTCGCGATTAGCCTCGCTCACGTTCCCACGTCAATGTTCTGGGAGATCGCGGATAGATAGGAACGGAAAACTCTTCACCCGGATCGGGTGCTCCCCTGAACATCGAGAATCCTACCGTGGAATACTTTCCAAACTATGGAAATCATGAGAACCACGGTCGGCTAGCAAGCGGCAGATGGATCAGATCGTTTTTCCCGCCGGAGGACATCAGAACGATTCTCTTGGTCTGCTTCCAGCGATGCTTCGCGGTGCGACATTTGTAGGTCCGAAAGTATGACCGATGCATAAATTCTCATTACGCTCACCGAACGATAGTACTCACTTGTATTTCGCGAGACTTATCGCACCGGCAATGGCGCAAGCCAGCAGAGACACCGATGCCAAGACACAGATCGGCCATCGAATCTTCCTTTGAAAATCTGATGCGAAAGTTCTGAGCCACAAATAGATGACACCACCTCCGAACGCTAATAGAGCTCCGACGATGTGGATAAGGAGCACGTTCAACTCCTGGAAGTTGGCTACCAATGATGCACCGATGCCCGCGGTAATTCCGAACCACACAGAGATCCTCTCGAGACGGTTCTCCTTGTCAACCTGAAAGTAAGAACCTCATTTGAATCCACTGACAGGCCCTAGCCGGCCGCTCCATCAGGGTTTTCAGAGCTCCGCGGAGGGTTCTTGCCGCCACGTCGGGCTGCGACTCTCCCGGGCGGCTACGGCTCGGAAATCGAGACCACTCTGAACTTCTGAACTCGGGACTGCCGGAGAACGGGTTGGCACAGGCTGTTTTGTCGTAAGCCGGCATATAAACGTTGTATTTCCGCAACACTTCGCGATGCCTCTCGAGAGGTTTGTGTTTCCATTATTCCTTGCCGGCCAGGAAATCCTCCCCGGATTTCTAAGCTCAAGTTCTCGATCGCGGACCAAGGGACTCTCACTAGGTCACCGGGTCACCTCGGCGGCTGGAGATATTGTCTCACGAACGTGATTGGGTTAGACGGAGCTGCTTGCGTCGATGGACGAGAGCTGCGTCTTGCTTTTATATCAACCCAACCCGGTATATGACGTCTATTGAAGTACAATAAGCCCGTGGAAGAATCCATCGCCGTCAGTTCCACAGCCGACAGACGCAGAACTCTCAAAGCTTCTTTGTGCGTTCCGCGGCGGCGCACGTCCATCCGCTGACCTCCATCACAAGGAGCTGAACTGACATCAGTATTCTTGGGAAGTAGATCTTGACGACGGAGGAATGAGAGAGAAAACATCCGATGTCGCCGAATCGAGTTATCGGCTGTCGACCGGCTACGGTCTTCATTCTCCATCGGAAGAAGCCATCAATAGGTTGCTTCGAGACGCCGATCGTCCGCGTTTGTCTCTCAGGTGGGCTTGACGATCTCAAATCGTTATCGAACCTGAGACCATAGTCGACAGCAATCTAAGCGACAACTCGCTCCCTCTTATACCGTCTCCCTTCCAATATCGGAAAGGCCCATCGCAGAATGAAAGAGAGATTCATCGAAAACACGGCGAACTTCCAAGGAATATCAGTTCCATCAATGTATTGTCTTCCTGAAGAGGGGTCTGGCTGCGGGACCGCTGCCTCAGAACGAGCAGAAATGCTTAGGCTCCAAATATGAGCCCGTGGACATTTCATGCGGATTCCCGTATCGTCGTTCCATTTTTTACATTTTCATCCGATCTTGAAAACCCGGCGCGATGGTTTGGCGCATCAGTGTCTTCAGCCGAGCGAATCGCTAGTAATGAGCTTCTCGTTGCCATTGAGCTTGGCGAACTCGGCGAGTCTCTCGGTTTTCCCCTCGAAGGAATAGACTTCTGAATGTCCGCGCATCGCTCCCCGCACCCGTGTACTATTAGGGTTCACGTACGAGCTTTGTCAGACGGTTCTTTGGTCGTTCCTCGGACACGTGCATTGACTCCACTCAGACCGACACTCCAGTGCCAGAAGGGGAGGTTCGAACAGCCATCGGAGGGCCGTAACGGCGAAACCCAGTGCTGACGACGCGCGGTTGATCAGCTCTTTTGAAAATTAACAGTAGCGGGGAGCTCCCATCACGAGGAACTCACCAACTGGTAGAGGTGATAAGTTGTACACGCCAAGAGCAAAGCGATGATATTGAGCAGCTGGCCGAAATAGCAGCTCTCCGCAGGCACAGTCCCCGTGTCAGATATGTAATTGAAACCATTTATGTGTCCGGCTGTGCGCGCCATCATAAAAGATATGGTGAACGTGATAGGCATCAGTATGGCAACACATAGGGGTATGAAACGAACTCGGGGATTCAAAGCCATTTCGAGCGGTTCGGCGGTCACGCAACTGGAATTCAAGGCACTGAAGGAGATTTTAAAGTTCTGTCTCACTGAAAGGGCCTGTCCGATATCAATGAACAAAGAGAGAGTGCTGTGAGAAAGCAGGGCTCTACGGCCACTTGACCTCAAGTATCCTCATTCTGCATGAGTGGTCAAAGAAAGTCTCCAGAAAATCACAGGACAAAGAATGGATAGTTATGGATCAGTCGCATCCCAAAAGGGACTGCTCCTCGAGACGGAACACACGGTGATATTCACGATCACCCTCACGAGGGAAGAACGTCAAATGTCGGCTAGACGTAAGAAAACTCACTGTGCCTCCCGCCGGGCTTTTGATGTGCTCCGCAGCTCACGGCACGCCTGTGTCAATTCGCGCAAGAGAAACCTTGAGCCTGTGCACACATAACCAGCTTCAATGTTTTAGGTCCATCGATTTTGAATTCATTGCATCCTCCGTTAGATCAGTGTTCCTCAAGAATTTTTCACCGGGCCCCACCACAGTGTGATCTCGCGCCCCACTTTCCATGGGCTTCTACGGGGAATAAATTTGTCCCACGCCCGACGCTGAAAATCGCTGCCTTAGACGCTCGTCTCCATCCCGAACGCAATGAAAGACTAAAGCTTTTCACTGTTCGAAAAACGATAAAGAGCAGACTCATGCACTGCGATTCTCGGTGACGTGGTGGCCGATATCGTTTTAGAACTCCCGATCTCAACCGCGCCAGGGTCCGTTCGCGGCGTCGGAAGTGGAGGATTCGCTCCCGCTTGAAACGAGCTACATTCGGAGAAGAAATTCAGTCCAAAATGCGATGAATCTGAATGGCCATTGTTTCGAGGGCGAGCAAGAGCCTTCGTCGCGAATCGTCCCAGGATGACGATGATGGACGGGGACTCAAGCCAAGTACCTACTCGGTCCTCCCACATATGTGCGGGAGATCTCCGCGATGTCCTAATGCCGCCGGAGCGTCTGCCCGCGAATCACCGTCAAGCCATTGCTCCACATCGGGATGGAAAAGGAGCTTCCCGGCCATCAGTTTCGGCCTTTCGTTTGCTGAACAATAGCTCAGCTTCGTATTTCTAATGGAAGAAGAAAGCACAAGGTTGCTCGTGGAATGAAAGGGGGAACACAACTCGTTCATTGCGTCGCTAGTTCATTGCACCGCAGCAGAGATAACTCGGACTCCATGATGAATCTAACAGATTCCTCTTTCATGTTTCCGTGAGACTGTTTCGTCTCTCAGCAGCTACCCCTTTAGTGCATCCCGTATCAACATATGTTGTGTACATAAGCTCTCGCTCAGATGTCCGAGCTCGCAGGGCTGACGGGCTGATGGGCGAAGTTTGTGACCGAGACTTTCGCTTTGCTGATCAGTGTAAGGGACATCGGTGCTAAAACGCATTATACGTGTCCCTCTTACGGAGAGGCCTGGTCCGAATAACTTCTTCTGCGCTTGTAACGGAAATACCTCCAATACATCCGGCTCGCTGTCGCGATAGCCGGTGTTCGTGCCGCACACCCTTCATCATCTCTATCCTGCCTTCGAATTTAGAGGATACGTGCTCGATTGTCAACCTCTTTGCGAGAAGAGTGTTGCCACAAGAATAATCATTTACCGAATCCCTGCGACGAACGTGTGTAGCGCGCTTCCAAAAAATGAGTCAGGTCCTCTGTAGCGAAGTTTCAGCAGCGGTAAGATTTATGCTGAGAAAATCCCTGTGTAAGGAGCTCCCCCAATGAAGAGCGCAACTGTAGACGAATGAAACTGAACTGGATTCTCGAATGCCTCACGCGAGCTGGTCAAACGCAAGGTCCGTCATCAGCGTAATTCAGAGTCCGTAGTTCAGGAGAAGGAGGAGAATTTCTCGCGCGGTCGTTCGCAGCCGTATGACGTCTCGTCTCGACCGATAGACTCATCAGCGCTGGGCAACCCTATTGAAATGGGTCATGTGCCCCCGGGGTACTACGGAGAAACCCGTTCCACAAGGAAGAGCTAAGTAGGTAAGTCTGACGAACGATCGTTTCGCTCATTGAAATTCTGTCCGAAGCGTCCTGTTGAAACTCGGAAGGCGAAATGATCGGAGGCGACTGGCAGGAGCCTCGTCTGCGTCCTTGGCCGAAAATAGAATATACTTATTAGCACCGAACAGCGATCAGATCCAGCGATATGCTGACGCCTTGAGCGCGACCGATGCAAATCCGATGAGTTTTCCGAGTCAATCCCAACATCGCGTAGTAACAATGCCGGGGAAGTAATAGAGCTTTCGCCACGGGAGGGATTTTCGGAGTCGAGACCGTCAGAACTGCCCAAGGGTGCGCTATATGTACCTACTACTCCTCTAGTGCTGGTGAAACATATACGAGTATTTACGATGGCTGAATCCGAGGCTAGATGTTAACCTGCGGGGCACATGTTGGCGAGAGGACCTCCCGATCAAAATACGGCTTATTCGTCCCTCCGTGATCTCAATGAATATCACGGAGCGACACACCCTTCCCGGAAAGGACAGCAGCGCGTTTTCCAGCGCGTTTTCCAGGCGGCGAAGAATGATCCGTGTGAGCGCCCTGTCTAAATGAGCACACGAGAATCGCCAAGGGATTCTTGGACACCAAGAACTGACTATTGGATTCAGAGAGCCCAACCGACGGTGGTTCCCAAACTCATAAAGATGAACTACACAAGTAGTGGCTTGGAGCTCGGAATCATTCAAGCCCTATACATAATCCCTGGCGTTAGAGACCATATTTTGAAAAGAGCTGAGCATGTCTTGTGTGATCGCGTTCTGGGCAGTACGAGTGCTTCATGGAGTCTTCTCGAATGCGAGTGATGAGTATTACTCTAGCGACGGCAGAGCGACATGACTGCTCCGACGTCGACTGCGGAACTTTCTCGCGACCCGGAGTTCTTGGAGCCGCGGTTGAATTCCTCGCGGAGCTGAAATCGATTTCATTGAGAACTTGATGAAGCCTTCTGGAGCTCGACTTAGTTCTTTCCATTGTGAATGACATTCCTCCGATCGCTTCTGATTAGTCTAAGCTGGCTAAGGACTCAACGTCTGTGCCGAATTGGCGCCGCGTTGGCCGGCGCGGCGTGGCCTGGCTTCCGCGTTCCGAGGGACCCACATCATGAGAACAGCCGTCAGCTCTTGGATGCATTTCGAGGAGTCTCCGTCGTCCACATCCAATCAGCTTCATATTCAATACTAGCTCTTGCAGGCGGACTTCGTTCCACTCTCGGATATTCCTCCCTAGAGCCTGAACAGTGTGATCCGATGTGGATTCCGTGCTTTGATTCATCAAAACTCGATCTGAAACGGAAACCTTTCTCCACCAGGCAATATAGAGATTGCGTTTCGGATCTCATCTCGGGACGAAGAACATGTCGCACAGAGGAAGCTTCGAGGATTTCATCGAAGAGGAAAACGACTACGAAGTCAGCCGGATCCTTGCTCCGGACAAGCAAGGCTTGAGGTCAGTAAGAAATGAGCTCTCTTCAGCCGACTGTTAGACCTGATCGCCCTAATAGCACCGATCTCGGTATCGGACTCGACTGAAATATTATCTCATGAAATTTCGTCACGAATTGTGTTCATCGCTTTTCCGCTCCGAACGTCGCTTTTTCCGACCGCAAAGAAATTCCCGATCGGAAGTTGCCTTCCGAGTTTCAAGCTCGAGGTGAACGAGGAGCCGGGTGCGAAAACCGCAAATGACGCAAGCCGTAACCTTCAAGAAGTCGAGAGACGTTCCTCGCGGAGAGCAGGCTCTGGCGAAAGTGGCGCAGCCCTGGGGACTGCCACTCGCAAAGCACGCATTGTCGACAACGTAGAGTCAATAGAGCGGCAGAGCTTCTAAATTTAGCAAGGTTCATTAGAAAGTGCAAAACTAGTGGGGACATTAATGACAACCAGCACTGTCAACCGGCCTGGCTTCAAACGACAACGAGCGAACGGGACAACTGGACTCGCTTGGGATTGGGACAAACTGTCACCGTCGCTCGGAGCAATTTTCCCCTTTCGTCGCTCAATTCGCGAAGTCGCCACAAGCGTTCCCTTGACGCCTATCCCTCCGTGGATGCGAATTCAAGCCCAGATTCATAATCATTACTACCCGTGAACTTCTCCTTGTCGAGTCGAACTCTATTCCGATCCAGATGAGACACTAGAAGGACCAAGGAGGAGATCAACTGAACCCCGTGCTGCCGATTCAAAATCTAAAACTTCTCGGCTGGTAGGATTGATACGTCCAGCGAGCAAGAAAGGTCCGAACTCGACCGGGACTGGATGGAATGAATTATTGTGATTCTCTGATCCGAGGGGAAGAGAGATCGGCCGGATTCACACGGTGAACTTTCCGAGCGGAAAATGTCAAAAATAGACTCCGACATACGGAAGAGTGTTGTCGAATAGACGCTTCGAAGAGGCCGGATGACCTCCAACCACCAAAAGCTAATTTCAAGCTCGACAAAAAAAACCTGGAGGAATCTTCATACGGTCCCAAGGTCTCCGCGTCGACTCGAAATCGTGTCCATCTGTGCAGATAACGGGAGGTTGGCTCCAAACTTCTCCCCTCTCTACGAATCTCCCGGAAGCGAAAATCGTACGTCATAGAGAAGTGTGACAGGCATTTGTCAGCGGCTCTTCGTCGCAGCAACAGACAGAGGATTCTCTCGCTCAGAGAGGAAATCTATCCGTTGCGAGCGGAGCGATTTGTCACGTTCGAATTGCGATCCGCGAAGTATGTCGAACCACCCTGAAAATCGCGACGACAGGCTTTGTCGAGCACAATCAGAAACTTCCCATGGAGTTTACTGTAGGCCTTCGTCCCCTATACCCAACCCCTCGGATATGATTTGAATTGGAGTTTGCTCGAGATCCCGATCAGCCCGACGATCAGCGGGAATCCATGAGACATGAGTCGAACCGATTCGGAGACATCACTTCGGAAGAATTCTTGTCGACAGCTTTCTGTCTGGGTTCCGCGGAAACTTCCGAATCTTAGATTTG